AGAGAGAGAGAGAGAGAGAGAGAGAGAGAGAGAGAGTTATAAAAAAAAAGATAGAAATGAATAATGATAAATAGTGATGAAAAGTGAGAAGAAAATACTTGGCAAAGTCGGCCAAGTTGAAAAAAGAAAAATTTAAAACGATGAGAGAATTATACTTATGTGTGAATTAAATTAGATATTTTTCATGATATAACATTTATATGAATTATTAAATATAAGTATTGAAATGTCAATTTGATAAATGATTATAAAATGGTAATCGATCGATTTTTCACTTTCGATACTTCCGCATTCGCTATATAATATTTATCTTTAGCATGTTATCTTGTTTATAAAAAAATGGAAGATGGCATTAAATAATTTTGATTATATGTTGTAATCTTTTAGATAATAACATGTCTATGTAATAACATTTTGATGAACAAGATGTTGAATAATTTATGATTAATAGTTTTGATTAATAGTTTACATTATATATAAGACATGTTTACATAGTAAATATGTATTCATTACCATGAAAATTAGGCTTTTTTTTTAAGTTAATTTTGTCGCATTTATTGTTTTAAAATTAGAATTTGAAATAATTAGTAAATTAAAATATTTTATTGTAAATTTTGAAAATTAAAAATCATATATATAATACAATATTTGCAAGATTAATTTTGCAAGATATAATAATTTCTCATAGTAATTAAAATTAAAAAATTGATTTATGATTGATATTTACTTTACAGTTTTCAATTGTACATAATACTATCAATTTCATAAATTATTTATACAAAAATAATAAAGGATTTTGTATTAAATTTTTCAATTTAAATTTTGTAATAATTATCATTTATTTCAAATTTCTTTTAAGAAAATCACTTCTTCCAAAACTTCTTTATTCACAATATCGTAGAATATTCTACGAATTTCTTCACATTTAAACGATTCGTATCGATCATATCGCAAAAATTTCTTTCTTAATAAGAATCGCTCGATTCTTATCCATCCATGATGTGAATTGCATTCATTTCTTCCGGATCCATTAGAATCTAAATTACTTCCGATATTCGACGCGAGGGAAGGAAAAGGATAACCGATCGACGCGGTGGAAAAGCAAAGAGAGAGAATTAGAGAAAAGAAAAGAGAGCGAGAGAGAATTAATGATGGGGAAAAGATGAATACTTTTTATCGCGACGAAAAAAAAAGCAGAATAATTACCGACGCAAATATAAAGCCCGAAAAATCAGCGAGGTAAAGAGGAACTTACCGGTAGAGGGAAAATAAAAGAAACATGTTAGGGTGAAAAAGAGGGTGGGAAGGAAACCTACGTAGACGTGGCACATAGGTCGATGCACTTGCATTCAGGGACGCACATTTAGCAGGATACACTTTTACGATTATACCGTGTGATCCGTTAAAACTGGGTCATTTTGATTACATTATGTCAGGTTTTGTTCATTCATATATGGAGATATGTGCTCTGCTTTTTATAATTAAAATATGCTACGTTTAAATATTTAAATGTATAATAATAAATGTAAATATATTTGATAAAATAATTTATTACTAATAATATTTACATATATTACTATAACGTTTACATAATCAAGAAAAATTACATATTTTTCATATTTAGGTAAAGAATGACGAAAATGATAAAATTTTATTTTTTTGGAATATTTAAAAATATTAAGTTGAGCATGATGAATTTTATTTGTTTTGATTAAATTTATTTATGTCATGAACTTTCTTTATCGCTTGAATTATCTAATATACGTAATGATTTTAATTTTCGAAGAAATATGATAAATATCATGAGACTTTTGAGCGAGGGTGTTAAACGCGAATGAAATTTTCTGCAATGAGAGAATGTGCTAACATCATGATGAGAAATTACCTCTTCATCGTGCAATGTACTGCACAGACGAGAAGAGTTTAAATTACACGGAAATATTGGATTACATGTGGCACGGTAATGCAACAACGGACAATAGACAGTTGTGTTAATACTGGTCTCCTTTATTCCATATTATTTGTATATACATATATATATATATATATATGTATGTATATATATATATTTTTTGTGATATAAAAAATTATATTTCTTAATATAAAGTCTTACAATCTTAAAATCTTACAATTAAAAAAGAAAAGAATTTTCTTAAAAAAATTCAATTATTATTATTAATGAAATTTACTAGTTACAATAATTAATAATAAATTCTTTGATATTATGAATAATAATAATAATAATGATTTATTATTGAAACAAGAAAAATTTTAGAAATGAATTTATAATTTTTTACAAGAAAATTTAATAATGTATTAAGTCATATTCCAAACAATATTTTTTTCTACTCACTTTTTTTAAATATCTAATTTCTGAAGTATTTCTTCTTAGAGGACACCTTGTATATATACTATATCAATGTATACTCAGTGTTTCTCAATCCTTTTTAAGACATGAATTTTACCAGATAATTTGCAAATTTTTATTTTTTCATAATTACATAAAAATATATTTTTGATAGGATAAAATGCGTAAATGATATTTTTACATTTTTAAAAGTAAATTAAAGTGGAAATCAAAAGGAGATATCAAAAATTTGTACACTGTAGGCCGTGTTTATACCGTGTCCATGGAAATTCGTGAGTGGAGTTGAACAAACTATTATTGATTGGGCTTCCTAAAAGACGGGTATAATATTTGGTTGCACGAATTCTATAGTATGAAATGGACATTGATTTTTGTTTGCACGAATTACTTTTAATTCATTTCGTACATAAAACAAAAATTTTAAATAATTTAAAATTTGTTTATCGTTACATAATTGATGTATGAAATTGCATAGATTTTTTTTTCAAACATGATAGAAGACTTGAAAAAAATAAATTGAAGATTAAATAAAAAAAAGATTTTTCAAAAATTAGATTTTTTAGAGAAAAGAAAAAAAAAGAATTTTTTTGATTGCTAAAATACATATATTATCTATTATCAATATCTGCATTTTAACAATTTAAAAGTTTCATTATTTAATGAAGAGAAAAGTTTCAACATTTAGTTGAAGAAAAGATGAAAGTCTAAGATATAATTTATTACGGCAATTTGTTTTTAATTGGTTAGAAGTTAACTTTACTTTTGTGAAAGACAATCAGCAAACGAAAGATAGAAGTTTTCGTGACTTTATCTTGTTATTTTTAAATGATGAATATAAACGATGAGTGTAATGTATAACTCATCATAATAATCTGGCTTTCAAATAATGCAGAGAAACATGCGATACTTAATCAGATCATACTCTCTTTGCTGCAATAATTCTCTAATTGAAAGATTTTTCCTTTTCTATCTTTTGATATTTATCTTTAGTACATTCTACAAGCTAACTTTCAATAATTACAACAAATTATAAGAAATGCAAATTTGTACATTTCTATGATATATATAAAATATATTTCTTCTCTTTATTAATTGATAAATGGAAATATTTCGTTATCGAAAATCATTACTATCTTTAAAGATTTATTTTATTTAGATATATAATAATATCACAGATATAAATAATATCAAAGTATATACAAAG